TGGGGGTGGGGGAGGGATCAAGAGCAATCCTGACAACCTCTTAACAGGAGGTCATATGCACAGAGCAGGAGGGGACCCCAGAGTGGAGCAGGTGGGCAGCAGGAGGCTTGTATCCCAACCCTGGAGACTCCCAGATCCTCACCAAGGACTATCAGTATGGGCACCAAGGACTACATCCCAACGGCCAAGGAGACCATGGGGACTTGGAGTGCCTTCGGAGGCCGAGAACTCTGAGGTCATCCACTCACATTTGAATTCCCACGTGGGATGGAAGAAGCCCAAATCCTTCCTCACAGGAGCCAAGGTCATCGGAACAACAGTCAGGAGCCCTGAGTGGTCCTCAGAAAGAGAAGAACAGTAAACTCCCTTCAGAACTAGGGAGAGGAGCTTTCTCTGGTCCTTACTTAGTTCCAACTTTGGCTCCCCACCCTCTCCTACAATGACTATCAGGGAAGCCCCAGAGTCTCCCACCCAAAACAAAACAAAACAAAACAAAACAAAACAAAACAAAACAAAAAACAGCGATAACAAAATTAGAATAGATAAACAGAGAGCAACAAGGAAAGCTTAGAACCAGACAGGAAACAGTCAGCGGGGATTCACATATACCTTGCTAGGCAGGACATGAAAATAAATTACTCCTCATTGGGATATTGAAGATTTCTCTGCACACCCCTTCTAAAACTGTTCTGTGCCTCTACTGTTGACGTATGTCTTGTTAGAGTTAAAAGCCAGTTTGGACTATCCTAAAATCTGCCAAGTTAAGTAAAAGTTATGCTTCAATACAATAAACTGCTAAATACAAAAATGAAAATAGGCACAAGACAGCTGAATAGCATCCTATAGCCATTTTAAGGTGTATAGAAGCTGGGTGTATATAAATTAAAATTGAAATGTCAATGAAGTAGTCAGAGGATGTGGTTAAGAGCTTGCATTTTTAAACATCTTTGTTACTCAATACCATGTCAATTAATTCCATAATGTTGTCAACTGTTGTTAATGTTATGTTATGGCTTTTAATTGGTTGGGGCAATATTCTGCCAGCTCTGCTTTTAGACCAGAGATGGTCTCCCCAAGAAACTGTTGAATTTATCGGTACAATAAGATGCTGGACTCTATGCATGGTACATGCTCACAATGAAGGAATCATGACTGGATTTGTACTGTAATACTGCAATAAGGTGGAGTAATCCACCATGGGGGGAGGGCAGGAGAGGGGTTGGGGGAACCTCAGAGCCTATGAAACGATGTCATAAAATAAAAGCTTTATCCATATGGAAATTAAACTAGGGAAAATAAAAACCAAAAAAATAAATTTATTTGAAAGGCTGTTACACAGATTGAGGGAGTGACAGAGCAAGATCTTTCACTTGCTGGTTTACTCTCTAAACAACACATTGAAAGGAGTTGGACAGATCTGAAGAAAGGAACCAGCAACCTCCTCTAGATTTCCCGCATTGGTACAAAGGTACCAGGCTTGGGCCATTCTCTGTTGCTTCCCAGGCATGTTAGCAAGGAGCTGGACTGGAAAGGAAGCAGCTAGCACTTGAACAGGCATCCATATGGGATACAGGTGCTGCAGCCAGCAACTGTACCTGCTTTGCCACAATGCAAGCCCTGAAAATTTTCTGTTTATGAGAAATTCTTTTTGGGGGGTGAATTAATATTATCTTTCATGTGTTTCAAATGTGGGCTTGGAAGTTGTAACATTTAGAGCCTTTAGAAGTGCTGGATGAATAATTCATTTTGCAAATTACAAATGTGTTTACTTTGGCTCTTTGAAGCTATAGCTTTGAGACCAACACAGCACTTCCTAATTTGGAAATATTTTCTTTCTGCTTTTTACTTTGACATGTACCCAGCTATCTACTTTTGTTGCTATTTCTAGCATCCCAAGGGAACTGCTTCCATGGTTGTCATAGTGCAAACACATACACAAGAAAACCAAGAACTCGATGCTTTCATAAAGCATTTATTTTTATTTGAAAACATTATACAGGCATTACACTGCCACAGCCAGTCCATGGGGGAGCATGCAAAATATCAAAAATGGACAGTTTGTTCAACTTAATTGGTGTCAATTTCTTTTTTGGTTCATATTTTCCTTTTGCAATGTCAGGATTAGTGTGCTTTGCTATGTGGCTTAACCATAGAATCCTACCCATGGGGTAAAATCTGCACTGGTAGCTAGCTGGGGACTACTAAATGGTTAAAAGGCAAAAACAAACCCAAAACAAACAATACTACACGCCTGTCAAAAGGTTAATAGCACAAGTAAGCATTATCTAAACTAAACATTGAAACATTTTTATGAGACACAGTGGTGCAAATGTTCCCATTGCATGGTCCACTTGGCTTTGTTATTTCGGAGTTGGAAGCTGTGCATGGGTACTACCAAAGTAAGTTCTGTGTCCAGTACCAGCTCCATTGAGGAAGTCAGTGAGAACTGCCACTGCTTTCTAGCAGGGTTTAGGAGAGCTGTGGTTTGCTCTTAGCCAGGCACGTTTTTGACCAATGGCTATGTCTTATTGGTTGAGGAGACAGTGGTGGTAGACTGAAAAGCTGCAAGTTTTGCTGGTGTCTACTGAGGTTACGGAATCTCAGAAACTAAAACAAGTAGAGTTAATGACGTCCTATTCCCACTTCCCACCCTACTCCCAAAGGTTCAATGTTTTTACATAGAGAAAGAATTTGTTCTTCCTTATTTTATTTTTCCCTGAAGGGTCAGTCTGGAATTCTGGATTTGGACAAGTTAATGCTATCAGCCTTTCCATGTGGAAACACATCAACATAGTGAGGCAACCCAGTAATAGGAAAGTCTGAGTATAAGAACCAGGACAGTAAGTGTATACAGTAAATTGCTCTTAACATTCACATTTGGTTTCCATACAGTGGAGTCATTTTGAAACATCCCATAAAACAATTCAGATGGCAACCTTTCAACATCTGTTAATGGCAAACCTTTTGGGAATTCAACTTTAAAAATTACCATCCCAATGAATATATTTGGAAATAATTTCATCCAGTTCTCAAGATTTTTTTTTTTTACTAAGTGTCTACAAATTCATGTCATAAAAAATGAATCAAAAAGATGAAAACATTTGGCTTAAAATAAATACTAAAAATGCAACAAATCAAGCAAATTACGCAAACCAAAGGAATGTAAACACACACCAAAAAACCAACAGTCTTTAAAGGTCTTCAGATTTGAATGGACAAACTATTCAGAGAAAGGTATTTAATTGGCTTAAAGGTAGCAGAGAGCAGATGGTGGCTGTTTTAGTTTGATTCAGCTTGAATATTGATTCCCCCTGACCCCTCACGGACTAGGAAATAGGTTTCTAAGAGGGCTGAATTGACAGGGCCATGAAATTTGCACTTCACAGAAGATTCCGTCTTCCTCATTTTCATGGGCAAGACCTCCCACCCACCTTGTGTAGAAGGGAAGCACAAGGCCATGTGGGTGCTGATGGACAGCATGGATGCATCGCTCAGTGACCTGCAGGCGGTGTCCAAGCTCTGGGCTTCATTCTGTCCTACTTCATGGAGGCTTCACTGGTAATTTGCTTCACTTGCTTGAGAATACTAACTTGAACTGTCCAAACTCTTTTAAGATTTATTTTTTCCTTTATAAACCCTGCCATTCCAAAGAGGATCTTTTGGAACAGTATTGAAGTTATTTAAAGACTTTTTCTCATACTGAAACACAGAATCCGCTCTATAGCATATAAGTCTGTGGTATATCTTAAGGTTCTGTGTTTGAAGAAAAGGCTTTTGTAGGACAATGGATTACCCTGGTGACATTTCACTCTCAGTTTTATAGGCCTCTGAAATATTATCTATATCTATTCTTGAGAACGTATGTCAATAAAATCTGCTAATGAATGGATGCCAAATAGGACCAAAGTTTTTCAATGGTGAGATCTTTACAATAACAAAGTGGCCAGAGCAATTGATCTATTTTCAGACTGCTCTGCATCAGCACCTTGACTTTGTTAGGAGATGGCAAAACCAGTAATACACTATGGGGAATTTCCATGCTGGTGTATATTAAAAATGGTGTCACCCAATTAACAAGGTAGAGGATCATTACTTTTACTAATGTTTTAGCTAATTTGCACTTTGTCATAAAGGATATCTAGGAATGAAAAAAGTAAAAAGTAAAATTAAAAAAAACAGTGTTTGAAGAGAGGCTATAGGGAGGAGCAAAAGGCTTAAACTATATGTGTATATATATATACATATGCATTTGCATATACATATGCATATACGTCTCCCTAAGAACAAATGGTATTATTTCTGAGGTTTCCCATAAGCCACAGAAGTGGAACAGTCCTTATCCTGTTACTGTGGGGACTTCATTAGTAGAATCATGTGGCACAACTGAAAGGTAATGGCCTGGAGTCACCAGAGATTGAAATATAAAAAGGCTATAATGTTTGTGTTAAATCTATTCCTAGAATAGAGAAGTATATGGTCAGTTGCCCCTCCCCACAAGGGTCACAGCACAAAATATTTAGCGAGCAGGCAATCCAACAGGTAGCAGAGGAAACTACTAGCCACCAGGTCCCTAGGATAAGGAAACTTCTCGGGGTGGAGCTCCTGTGGTATGCGGCACTCATACAGTCTGTGCAAAAAAATAAAGTGTGATTCTTAAAAAGTGACTTGCCATAGAAAAGTGGGACTGATGCTGCCTACATGTGGGTCTGGCAATAAGTCTCATCAGAAGGACAAAATAGCCTCCTGAAGGTTGGTGTGATAACAGTAACAATAATAGTACAAGTAATAATAACAACAATATTTGCTTTTTATTCAAAAAATTTCACAGTAATTAATGCAGTGGGGTGGAGATAGGGTTACATGTCAGCTAGGCATCTCTGAATCAGGCAGATTTGGGCCTGGATTTCCAGAGATGCTTAGCTTCTTCCCTTACAAGCTCTCAGAGGATTGGCTACCTTGCAGTCCACCTGTGTAAACTGCACCTAGTAAATACCTTTCTCTATGTACAAGACAGAGATGATGAGCAGACATGTGGCCACTGAGTTGTCCTCAGTGGGCAGGGTGGGCCTCATCCTAGGCCACATGGACATGGGGCTCTTCTTCAGTCTCCTGGCCCAGGCTAGTGTAGGTGACGGAAGGCTCCACCTGAGCTGTGGTTGGTAAGTCCACAACAGGTCCCGAAGGGTTGCGGAACTGCTTGTACACTCGAGGGTCCTGGGCTATGTACGTGGAGGTGGAGGAGTAGAGCACCAGCCCAATGAGGATGGTGAAGAAGGACAGGAGATACAGTCCTGAAAACTAAAAACACAACAGCAAGGTCATTCAACAGCTGGAGCAGAACCATGAAGACGTTCATGAGGCATGGAGAAGCAGGACCGGATGGAACTGTTTCTTGTCAGAACAGGTGGCTTGCAGAGTTGGCCATTACTTTTGATGGAAAGTGGTTTTTCTGTCCCTAACTGTCTGGATCTTATTGATTCCCCCTTGTCTCTTTCACTAGATCCTGTGGCTCACACAGGGGAATGTTTAGCTAATTGTCTCTAATACACCAAACTGAGCACCTGGTGTGTTGAAAGATGTAGTTAAATACAAATCATAAAACATCAGGTTAAAAATAAAAAATTTGCAATGTCACGCAATGAAGAGTTGGTTATTTGCAGCGTCATTAAATCCAGGAGAGATATGGCTATCCCGTTTAAGGGTGTAATGTAGCCACAAACAAGGAACACCATGTTGACAGCTGAGTTTGGGCTCTCTAGTTTTGCTTGAATCCCATGCAGGTGTTATGTCTCTTCACAGAAAGTTTATTGACTATGGCAATTATCTTTGCAAGATTAGATTATGCTTGAACAACAAGAAGACATATAACCTTCCATTCCCGCCCCTCTCTGTCTAAAAACAAGACCTTCCGAGCTACATATACAATATTCTGCTTTCGAAACTGTTGGCTGGTCAGTTCATAGAGGTGGTGGTGGTATGGGGGGAGTTTGGGTTATAAAAGTCCCAAAGATTTGTATGTGTTACTGAAAAATCACAAACTATAGAGACACCTGTGTGGAAGCACTGGAAATTATTAGTTGAGTAGTTACTGGGGAGATTAAGGTAACAACACAAGTGTTGTCATTTCTACTGTTTCATTCATTCATTCTTCCCCTTATTCTCTCTATTCAATACATAGATTCTTGAATGCTTTCTTTATATTAAATACTGTACTATGTGCTGGAGAGAGAAAGATGAATTGTATGGCTAGTCCCTAACATCTTCCTTAAGATCTTAATAATCTAATCCCAGAGGGGAAAAAAATCAGACATACAAATAGATCAAAACAATACAAGGCACTTATGATCTGCAAAGCTCACTTTAGTCACTGGTTCTTATCATCTTCAGCACATCCTGTATCCATGGGAAGAGAGGATTAATTTTATTCTTTTATTTTATACTTATATCCTTAAAGAACTAAAGCCCGTTTTTTTAAAAGGCAAAAATTAGTTGGAAGCTGAAAGAAAGAACAGGAAAACAACCCAGGAAAGAACAGAAAACAACTCTATGAAAAAATTTCCCAACTAGAATAAAAAGCTAAAAGATATCTGTAACTGATAGTTCAAGAATGAGAAAGGAAGTCTTAAAAGTAACTCATAGAACAGGTCTCGCCCTGCAGATGAATTTCCTTGTTACAGGGTTTGCTTCCTTCTCCTCTGTGGTCCCATCATTCCTATCCCTTCCCTTCTGCTCTGCAACCCTCCCCTCCCCTCCCTTCCCTCCCTTATCCCCTTCCCTCCTTTTCCCTTCTCTTCCGTCCCCTTCCCCTCTCCTCCCTTCACTTCCCTTTTCTCTTCTCCAATCTCCTCTCCTCTCCTTGCTCCCCTGCCATTCTTCTTTTCCTCTTTTTTTTTTTTTTTTCCTTTTGTGCAGTAGCAAGATAGCTTGGTATAAGGATGATTTTCTGGTTTGTTTTTTAGGGCACTCCTTATTGCATCTCTAAATTTTTTTTTCAATTAAACTGTATGATAATGATTCTTCAAACACATTTATGTACTAATTCAGCCTACAGTAGCCTACTTAATAACCCAAGACATTTAATTCAGTTTCCACAGTGAAAATAAGTACGCCAATTCCCTGTGAATTTGTAAAATAAAATGGTAAAGATACAAGACCATCAACTACTATACTGCTATATATACACCATATATACTGCTATATATGACATCTGAAAACCTATTTACCCATAAATTTGCTTCCTGAAATTCTACATAAAAAAGCTTCATCCTTCACCTGGGACTTGTGTGACTTTTGTGACTGTGCATGAAGACTGGAAGCTTTGCGGTCACGAAGGCATTCTAACCACCACAGTGGATTCAAATGGCAGTTTCAATACTCTCTAGCTGAAGCCCTAGTCAAATGTCTGAATCTTTCCATGTGCAAGTTTTCTTATTATTCAAATGCACCTACTATGAAACAACAGACTAATGATAAAGATTAAAGGATGTAGCACAGTTATAGTGCCTACCTTGAAGTAAGCATTCAATTCATATAAACTTCTTGTTGTCACTGCTTTTTGTTATCATTGTTGCAATGATATAATGTTATTTCTTAAAATATTCTGATATAATGAGTGATTAAATTCTGTTTCTGATAACCCTTTGACTATGGGAATGTGTCTTTTTGACTAGAATCAATCATACAACCTAGTGTTATCTACTTAGACATCTACTAAATCTCACTTGCTAATATTTTAATTTGAATGAATACATACATTTAATTAAAGGGAAGCCTCAGACTACAGAAAGAAACATAATTTTTAAAGGAAGACTATATAAGAGGTGCATTTCAAGTTTTAAATGTTTAAACTATATAATGCAAAGGCAGTTCTTGTGCATCACATGCTTTTAAAAATATTGAAAAGGAAGTCACAGCACAGATCCAGAATCATTTACTCCCAAAGTCATTTTCATGCCAAGGGTCTATGAAAAAGAGTGACAGGACAGGAACTGAGAAGTAAAATACAGAAGGCAAAGCCCTGGTGTAAGATTGAAGATTGCCACTCCCTGGATTGATGTAGGAGCTTCATAAGTCTGAAGCAGACAGGACTTCAGGGTTAAACTAAGGTAGAAGGGAGAGACGAGGCCTTCATGCTCAGTGTCCAGGTGGAATTTATACTTCTCTCAATTTCTGATTTTAGATTCTGTATTCTGATTTAACCAGTGTGACAAAAATGGTAATGTTTTGTAAAACTAATGCCTTTGTCATGTAGGAAATAATACTGAAACATAACACTTCAAAGGGTTGCACCTTTTTTTGGGTGTGAAACCATCAGGATCAGTGGCAGATCACTATAACATATTTGGACATGGCATTAGAGTGAGCACACATAGTAGATTTCCAATACATATTTCTATTTAGTTCATACAGAATCTCTAAAATTGTTCGAAAGATAGCATGGAAGTTTATAGGACTAAGGCATCTGGGAAGTTACTCAAGAGGTTTTTATTAATAGACGGTAGAAAGTTTTCATTAAATACACAAGCCTACAATGGGAACAGTCAAGCAAGTAGTATGATTAATCACAATAAATACTGAATGTTTAACTGGTAACAGGAAGGTCTGCTTTTTCTTGTTTGTTTTTCTTTTTTTTTTTTTTTCCTCTTTCTAGATTATTATAGAAGAAGAAAATGTCATTGGGGTACCCACAGAAGGACTCGAGTGCTGGATTCTACACTCATCTGTAGTTTTCTTTTCACATTATAAATTGTTACTGATGTTATGTCAGGGCTTTTAATTGATTGGGATGATACTCTGTTGGCTCTACCTTCAGCCCAGAGATGGTCTCCCCAAGAAACCGTTGAACTTATCTGCACAATAGGATGCTGGACGCTTGGTAGGTGCTTACAATGAAAGAATCTCAACTGAATTTGAATTGTGGTAATGCAACAAGGTGGAGGAATCCACAACAGGGGAGGGTTTGGGGAGGGATACGGCAAATCCCAGTGCCTATAAAACTGTGTCACATAATGCAATGTAATAAAAAAAAAACCCATGTAATCACATGGAACTTACACAGACTGGGCTGGTTAACTGAACTACAAAGAGGAACTTGTCTCCAGTTCTTTGTCAGTTACAAATAAAGGCATGTTTTAGCCAGGAGCTCACTGTGTCCATTGAGGGTCACGGATTCCAATCTCAAATGGACTTTGTGATCACCCTATTACCCAAATGTACTGCATGAGAATGGTCTGTCCGTTCTTTGCTGCAGATACACCGTGGCCTGCATTTTGCTACATGTGTTAGTTGGAGAGATGGAAAACAAACAAGGTTTGAATTAATGCCACAAACTCGATTTACCTTGCAGAGGAGTGTCTGCAAGCAAGGGTCAGAAGACACTCACTGTGCATAATGAAAATCCTGTGTGTTGCTCAAAGCCGTAAGTCATCACACACAATTGGGTAGCTTGGAAGATTGATAATCAGCCTGTGCAAAACTCTTCCACTTGCAACTAGGAATGAAATTTAGCCATTAGGCAATTGGTATATCAGCATGATTGCTAAGTTAGTTAATGTGGCATTCAGCATGAACAGATCTAATTTTGATTTTATTTTGGAGCTAAATAAGTTGAATTTAAATAAATGAATGACTTCAAGAGATCTAATTCTATATAAGGAGAAAAAGCCCACATGATTTGAAAGCCATTTCCAAGCACACTTAGAAATATGTCAGATAGAATATGTAAGGAAGGTGTTGGTTCAAGGGCAATGTCCTTTCTCCAGCTGGACTAAAATGATAGCAGGGTCAGTAAGGTACAATATGCACAACCCTTAGAGAGGTACCAAGGGACTGCAGAGAGACAGTCTTTGAAGCTCTACTTTCTTTTTAAAAAGATCTATTTATTTTTATTGGAAAGAAAGATTTATAGAGAAAATGTGAGATACAGACAGAGGGTCTTCCACCTGCTGAGCTAGTAGCCAAGAGCTTCTTCCAGGTCTTCCATATGGGTGCAGGTTACAAGGGACTTGGGTATCTTCTGCTGCTTTCCCAGTCCATAACAGGGAAGAGGATTGGAAATGGAGTAGTCAGGAATAGAACTAATGCTTAAGTGGGATGCTGGCACCACAAGGCTGAGGGTTAGCCTGTTGAGTCACTGTGCTAGCCCTAAGCTCTACCTTCACTGAACATGTGGATCATTGATACCTGTATGGCAGGCTTGGCTTTCCTTTCATTCCTAGAAAGTGGCTATGGGTCAGATGTAGCTTATTCCCACAGAAATTCATTGTGGCAGTCTGTTCAAGTAATGGACCTTTAAGAGA